GACAGTGGGGTGACATTTGACAAATTTGCAAAGACTAAATTAGGCAGACTTGTCTTGGCGCCTCCCTTTTTCAACACGAGGCCAATCTGGCTGCAGGAAGCAGGCATTTTCTTCTGCTCCCAAACCCACTAAGGGAAAAGAGATGCTGCTATTTGTAGACCTCAATACCAGAGTTAGCCATCTAAATTTTTGGCACTTTCCCCTCAAACATTTAAGCTATGAAGGAATTGTCAACAAGTACTTATCACAATAGAAACAAAATTATACCCCCAAAAGCTTCTATGAGTTATAAGTTACAATGTCAATTAGATGTCATAAAATACTACACCTTCTTCTGAATGACTAAACTACATTAACTACACTCCTTGCATTCTATACATACTTTGGCTGCTATAGAACATATACATGTTCTTTCACAATGCATATGTTTCATTTTTTATTAATAAAAAGCCAGGCTTAAAATTAATGCTACGTTGTGAACAACCAGAAAATTTAAATACCTTGGTCAGAACCAACAATGTGGTACTTTCATTTTCATCTTTCCTTGACTACCAAACAGGAAATCTCCTCAATTAGATGTCTAAGAAGAAGAAGAAAAAAAAGGCCATTATCCCAGGGCACAGCAAGTTCTGTCAGGTATTTCAACATGGTGGAGGAGTAGTCAGGTTTTAATTGGCCCTATCGAGCTCACCCACAAGCTACAACATTCTTTACCTCAGCAGTGTGGTATTCAAAAGGAAAAAAAAAAAAAAAACTACAAAGTTAGTTTCTATCTTTGAAAACATCAAATGAATCATGCCCAGTTTCATCCTGTTAACTGAATGCTCGTTGATAAAAGTGCACATATCAACACTAGTCAGATTGATATTGAAAAGTAAAATAGATTCTAGAAAATGCCCCACCTCCAACATTGTTTGTTGAGCTAGCTAAAATAAAGAACTGTGTTCTATATTTTGCTAGTAATTTTCTTATCTACTGCGTTAGAAAACACTTTCTCTAGACAATCCAAGGACAGAAAGTTACTATCCACAACCCTGTTCTGAACCAGATGATAAGGACATTCTCCAAGCCAAATTCTTGCCCATTTGGGACTGTTCAAGTTGGGCACACTGACAGATATATTTTAAAAACTGCTAGGCAATGTTTTCTGAAAGAATAGTCAAAAAATTAATAAAATATAAGAAAAAGCACGAGAAGGAACAAAACATGTTCCCTTTAAAAGTAGAGAAGGTACAAAAATATGTTCCTCTTAAAAGTAGAGAATGCCAAAACAGGATGGAGCTGACAAGAGAGTTGTGGTTTTAGTGGGCCTCGTTTAGACACATGCACAACTCCTCATTTTCTGCTTTAACTTGTCCAGGACTTCTGACTCTAAAAAGAAAACAGCTAACTCAATGACAATAACAAAAAAATGAAAGAATAATTGGGGAGGTGAAATCTTCATGGTTTTAAGGAAAACATACCTACTTGAGTCTAGAGTAGCTGTCTTTGCTATACCGGCCACCATTCAAGCACTGAACAGCAAGCAGCAGGAAAAGTTCTGTGTACAGATGTGGTTTTCCTTTTCCTTAACCAACATTTCATAAGCTAAACACCATTCTTCAATGGAGCAAGGAGACTCCTGTGGAATGTGGAGAATAGGGAGAAAAACCATGGAATCCTCGTTTATCAAAACTGGAAAAGACTTCTGAGACGCAGAGTGTGGTCTAGAAATGGGGGCACAGTTCTTGCCATTCTCTTGGTTCTGAGGACTCCTTGCCCCATGGGGAGTGGCAAGGCATTAGGACAATCAGAGTGGGGACCCTCTACAATAGGAAGCCCAGAGCAGGAGCCCCAGTTTGCATAAATCAAAAGATGGTACTAGTTTCCAGAGACAGAAACAGTTGTTGGTAGTACAGTATCATCACGTCCACCACCTATCAGAAAGTTCTACGCAGCTCCAAATGAACTAACTAGAGGCTTAGTCAAGTGTTTGGAGTAACTTAAGAACAACCTTTAAATTTCCCTGAGTTACTAAAAAAAAAAAAAAAAAACTGGGCATAATCTTGAAAAATAAATAATTTTAAAATTAAATTATCTTGGTAATTAAAGCAAATTAGCTTTAATCAGAAACAACATAAAGTTTTATACTTTAAAAAAGGCTAGTAATTAATTTTAGATTCCAACCCAATATTCCACATGTTTAAAGTTTTCAAAAACTTCTAATCAACCTTTTTTATTAGTTGGGAGGAAAAATATCATGTCCAAAATTTTAAAGAAAATATTCCTTCTGTCATTATTTTATCCAAAACCTCTTCAAAATAAATCACACAAAGATGTGATGATTGGTAAGATTTACTAGATATCTCATCAAAAGATAAATATTTTGGGGGAAAAAAAGTTACATGGTATAAGATTTGAGATCTTATACCAGAACTGTGTCCCATTTGCAAACATCTGAGAACCACTGGCAATGTAGAATAAGAGAGGGAGAAGAGAGGGGAGAGAAAGGGAGGGGGGAGGAAGGGATAGGGAAAAGAAAGAGAGAGAGAGAGAGAGAGAGAGAGAGAGACCATTTCCCAAATGATTTTTGTTCAGTAACTAAAAATAATAGGAAACGATGAGGCATATGTAAATGCCAATAACCTTCATTTTCTTTCATTTTTTTTTTTTTAAAGAATCATCAACAGTAGACTAGTTTTCAAATTGGTCAAAAGAATAAGAATCTTAACTGCCATGCCATGTTCTCTAACAAACTGTGTTCAGGTTCAGAGAAAGAGTAAATTAGGCCATATTGCTAAGGGGGCATCGTATAAATGTAAAATATGAAAATCCCCATGTAAGTAAAGCAGAAAGCAGTTTTTAGAGGCAAAACCCAGGCTTTCTCAAAAGCTTCGGTCTAATTCTTATCACATGTAAATATCTTTCCCTTTAGACACAAACTCCCATATAGATGGACATTGTCAAACAGCCATTATCTCTGAGAGCTCTTTCAGGGAGTTGAGCTCTCAACTTTTCAAATCTATGACTTTGAGGTTCCTCAGGAGAGACCTTCTAAAAATATGAAGGCACTTATTGCTTTACCTCAGACGTTAAACAAAATTTTAAATAGCTTGAGAAGTTTTAACAGGTGAAGCTTGTTGGGGATTTGTCCTGGTTTTGTTTCATAAACTGATCTTTAATAAAATAGTATAAAATAGTTGCTATTAGTGAAATAGTACTTACTGGGCCTAGGAAACCTTATTGGTTCATAAATATTCCAATGTTCTAGAACAGTGACTGTCATTACTTCTAGGTCAAAATCACTGTTTATATATAAGAATACTCTTACATGAAGTAATATTTTCAAAAATAAAGTGAATAATTGATCATTCTTTATTTACAGTTTTGTTTTGCTATCTACATATACTTTTTTATATTGTATACACAGCAAGAGTACTCTAAAAACAACTTCTAGTGAATATCCCAAAGTTCTTGCCATCACTTGCCCCAATGTGACTTTTTGGTTTTAAGTCAGGTTCTCCTCACGACTTTGAGAAAGGAAATAGTTTACCTGTTGTTCCATGTGTGTAATTAAAATTGTGCTTTTCCTTAGAGTGAACACATTGTCCTAAGCTTCATATATTCATGGAGAAAGGAGGGCAGGAGCAGAAATGGAGACATGAACCAACATTTAGAGTAAGAGAGAGACCTGTAAGTCACTACAGTAGTGTCTAAAGAAACAGTTCTAAGTGTCAAACACACTACATATCATCTAATTTAATTCTCACTGTAATTCCATGAAGCAAGCATTGTAGTTATGTCTGATTTCAAATGTGGCAACAAGCTCGAAGAGTTAAATACACACAATTATTAAGTAGTAGCAAGAGGATTTTTCACACACAGTTTCCTGGCTCCAAAATCTTTGTGTTTCTCTCTACCATGCGGCTTTTTTAGCTTCCTTTTTTTCCCCTATTTTTTGCTTGCACTTTGATATTTTAAAGGGGACACAAGAGGCTATATGCCTTCCTTTTAGTGCTGCCCAGCCTATCTTTATAAATTAATGATTAACTTTCTCTGGTAACTGGCAGGCACCCCAGTCTTGACACTTCCCCATTTTTTTCACTGCTGTTAAAAGCTGATAATAGACTTGAGCTCACCCTGCCCACTAGCACCACAAAAAACCAAAAACATTTTGCTGTTTTTTCTTAACTGTAAAGTTATATTCATTTTAAATTCAAGCCCTGTGAGTTTAGAAAATGCCTCATGACGTCAAGATTAAAAACTGAAGTTGATATGACATTTATCCCCCCACAACAAATCATGAAATAAAGAAAATGCAGAGAGCACTGTGTTTCACCTGTCCCACCAGCCAAGTAGAGCATCACAATGACAGCTAAGCATTCCCAAAGGCACTACAGCAGCCTTGATCAGATCTGCTGTCCACAGTCCCAGACTGGCTCACCGAAAAACTGGAGGCATTACTAAACACTGCCCAACAAAGCTGAGCACGTTTGTTGGGAACTAGTGAAAAAGGCCATCACTCATATTATAATACGTTTAGTTTAAGTATCTCCTAAGATCAACATAAAAGACTTGTAAATAAAGACCTACAACGTGTGCACGCTAGTATTAGCTGGTGTTTCCTTTCAAATTTTCACTTCTCAGTAGCCAAGTGAAATTTCAGCCTACACTTCAGCTTGTGCTTGAGCTTCTTCAAAAAATTCAAAATGTTAATTAAGTGCTCCAATAAGCTAGGTAAATTGGTTGAAAGATACAGTATATATACCTTCCCAAATACTTTGAATATTTGTGAACTTTTTAGTGAGATGTATAGACCTATTTTGGTACCAAATTAGAAATAAAGCTTGGAAGTACATCTTGTCAGCTACTTCCCAAACAAAACTAAAAACCTGCAGAGGTGAATATCCACCACCATGAAATACCAGAGAGAAAATAAAATTTACTTTTGCCAAAAAAAGAAAGTTTATTTTTATAGAACTAAACCATTCCTTGGCAGATTAAAAAGCAACAAACGCTTGTCCAGTTTAGTTAACACATTTGCTTTTTTATTTTTTAGAATATAGTCTACATCTGGATTAAAAAAAGTTTTAAATAAATTTAAGACATATAACAACATTGGAACCCTTCATCATTCTATGTACAGCACAGATAGAATGTCAGTTGGTTCCACTTTGGATAAGTCCACTTTCTCATAATAATGTTATTATTTCCACTGGCTGAGTGGCAAGCTTCTTACAAGCTGGCACACTGCCAGTTTACACACACCGGGGTGGGGTGGGGGTGGGTTAGGGGTGATGTGAAAAGAATGGGGTGGGGGTGCCACAGGACTACTGTACGGTGTAACAGAAAATCATTAATAAAGTAGTACCGGTTACCAACAGACAGTGCCGTTTGTGCGCTTATCACAATGGAATCGCCGAAGTTTCAGAGCAAAGAGATTTGAAATACTTAAGACAGGGCCACAGTTACAAAAAGAAATAGTGCAAACAGGAAAACTGATGCAATCCTAGCAACGCCTGGGCCTCCACCAGCCCAACGACAGAGCGGCGGGAGGCTGTGTGCCCCGCCTTCCCCACCACCCAGCTCCAGGCGGCTCTCCCAAGTGTGGCAACCCAGCGCCGCGCCCTGGCATGGCCCCTTCTGGGGCCCTTCTCCTCCGGAAAGAACAGAAAAGAAACCCTAGGAAAGGCACAGGCTGAAATGTGGGGCATTAGCCCAGTCTCATTCCTGTCCACATAGAACGCAGGCCCCCACCCGGTGGGGTCCTTAAACCCCTCTCTCCCACCACCACTTTCCTCTCCTCTCACGAACGGGGCCCCCTCCTCCACACAGCCCCGCCGAGCTCCCTGCACGTACGCAGCCCCCCAACTTTGCAGTCTGCCCCTTCGAGCCCCACAGCCAGGAAGAAAATAGCTTTGAGGAAGGAGAGATGAGAGATGGGCCAGAGAGGGTGCTGGGCAGTCGCGGGTGCCCCACCTCAGTGGCCCCAGTTGCCGAAGCCGATCTCTTGCTTGTATCTGTTAGTGAGAATGTTGGCTTTGCGCGTGAGTTTGGAGAGCACAGTGTGCAGCCCGCGCAGGTGGTAGTGGAACTGCTGCTCCAGGTCTTCCTCGCCGGCGTCCGCGCCCTCCAAGTGGCTCAGGTCCACCAGGATGTCCTTGGACTTCCAGGCGCTGCCCTCCTCGCTCCCCGCCGGTGGCGGTGGCTGGTGCAGGACGCCCCACTCGATGTCGTTGCGGATCGACTTAAGCAGCACGTAGTGGCTGTACATGTCCCGGGAGGGCGCGAAAAAGCTGCCATTGGCGGTGCCTGGGCCCGGGGCTGGGGACGCGTGCTCCTCCAGGCAGCCGCCACTGCCGCCTACCTCCTCCACGCCGACGTCGTTGTCTAACCCCGGCTCAGCCAGGGGCACGTCGCGCAGCAAGCTGGGCACCATCACCGTCTGGTCCATGTTGTTCACGGCGCCGATGAAGCGATTCATGGCGTTAAAGAGCGAGTGCTTTTGGTTATAGGTATCGCAGATTTGCATCATGGTGGCTGCGCTCGTGCCGGAGCACTGGGACGTAGGGGCACGAGGATGATCGGCTGGGGCGAGGGGGTGCCCGCCTTCACGCACTCTCACAGGCCTGCGCCCTGGGCCTGGCTATAGCCGGTGTGGCGGGATTCCCGGCTCCTCCTCCGCCCTCTCCTCTTCAACTCTCGTCTCACTTGCAGCCCGGCCCTCCGGGATGCGCGGCTTCTCCTGGCTTTGGCGCCCGGAAGCTAGTGATGCGGAGGGTGGTCGGTGGGTCGGACCCTGGCCTGTTTGGGACGGGGGGACGAAAGAACAGATTATTCACCGGCTAGGGTACCCGACGCCCCTGCCTGCAAGCACCTCCCTCCCAGACTACTGCTTGCCCGGGACGGCGCCTGGGTGGCTCCCCACAGCCGGGCGGTCCCACCTCCTCGCCTGCCGAGGGCCGCGGAGAGAAGGGGTAACCCCCTACTTCTCCTTCGGAAAAGCCTGAGTTCAAGCAACCACGCTGGCCGGGACAGCGACGAGGCGGGGATACCCACCTCCTCTTAACGCCTTGAGATTTCTCTGTTTCTTGGTACTTCAGTGTTTCCACTGCCAGCGGCTGCTGCCCAAGGGCGCTGCTGCGGTCAGTGGCCGGACTGTGACTGAGGGCTGCGGTGGCTGCGTTGGCCCCCTACCCATTCCAGGTGCTCAATTTATAGTCCAGGAAAGGTGTCGCCGGCGCTCAGGGCCACCCCCGGTGTCTCCTCCTCCCGCCTCTCCCGGCAGCACCAAGATAAAAGGCCGCAGCCGGATGACCGCGAGTAACACTAGCCCGGCCCTTTCTACAGCGGGGGCGGGGCGCGCCGGGCCAGCTCCGCCTCTGGCCTGATACCCGGGCTGAGGGAGGGCGCCAGGGCAGGCCAGGGCAGGGCAGAGGAGGGCAGGAACAGCCGCGCCCGCCAGCGCCAAGCCCTAGACTGGCCGGCGGGGGAAGGGCCAGGCACTGTGCGGTGAACTAGGCGCCGGTGTCCGGACAGGCTAGAGGGCGGGCGTGCGGGGGCTGGGCGGACCTTGCGCGCGGGGTGACCGGAATGCACGTGCCCTGGTTGCAAAGTGAGCCTCTCGACCCCCAGTCTAGAGTGGCCACGGCCCTGAATCAGCAGCCCCAGTTTATTAATAGCCGTCGGGGAAGAGGGGCCGCAGCAGCCACAACTCCAGCCCAGGACTGTTACGTAAGAAGAGTGGCTGGGCATGCCGGGTGCATGTGGACGTGCGGTGCTCCCACAGTGGCCCTGGCCTTGGACGCGAAGTGCTCCCGCCCTGGCCCCAGCCTTTGCCAGCCTTTGGGGGAGGGGAGCATCAGAGGCTTTTGCCTCCCTCCCAGCGGAGTCTCTCCCAATCTTTACTATAACAACTACTGCCAGGGATGAAGAGTGGCCTAACATCAGATTTGCAGATTTTTTCAAGAGATTACAAAGTGGCAATGGAGAGAAAAAGCCAACTTCCTGACTTTTGTCCAAGTCAGCTATGCACTGTTGGAGAGGCTGGGCCATGTGGCCTTTTGGCTGCCAAGAGGCCAAGAAAGGGTGACAGTAGTTAGGCCTGGTGTTGGGTGTCTTTCATCATTTAACAGAAAAGTGGGGATGCGTCCAATTATTTTTTAGGGTGTGTGTGTGAAACTCTCCTTTTAAAAAATAGTTCTTTCTTAAAGCACAGGGTCATTTAATAGGGCCTAAGAAGCTATGTACCAAATCGCTAGATTTAAGAATCCTGCACCTTAAATTTCACTTTGGGACTTCCAAGCCACAGCCTGTTTTATTTTTCTTATCTCACTTCCCTTGCCATTCTCTCCATCCATGTCTTCTCTCATAGTCCTACAGATAATTATGTCCAACAAAACTCAAGCTTTTCATTTTAAATCCTTATTCTCTAAAATTAGTACAACGTTTTCCTTCAGGACAAAAAGTGCCAAAAGGTAGCACATAAATAAGGGGTTTCTTTCTCTCCCTCTTTCTTTCACCGAAGACCTATACTTAAATATTTTCCAAGGCAAACCATCTTCCTAATTGTCTTTTGAATGAAACGCTGACTTGGTACCACAAGGACTGATCAGTTGACAGCAGAACAGAAGTCAGTAAACCTGGAGACCCCACCCCCAACCCAGGACTTACTAGCTCTAGATCATAGCCCATGTTTTCATATCTGTAAAACTCTTATAATGTTACCTGCTCGACATACCTATCAAATTGTGGGCGATCAATGAAAAGAAAAATGTATTAATTTGAAGCATTAAAATAATCTCACCCTTCCTCTTTGCACACATAGAACCTTAGAAACTTTTCTAGCCTCTTTCCTTTTCAATAAAATGATGCTTCTCCCTAGGACTGTGCCAAGGATTTTGGTCAAGGTTAAATAAGATAAAGGATGTAAAAATCATCATGTAAATTGTAAAGTACTTTTGAAAGATTAATTGTGCTTAGTATGAACTTCAACATAGTCTGGGGGTGTATATGTGAAGAGTCAGAAACTTAAAAATGTAGAAATGGGCTATGATGTATCACAGACCCTTTCCCCAGTGCTTAAGCAGAAGGAGAGCATAAAATAGTCCAGGCTGGTTTTAAACTCTTAGATCCAATGAGAGTCAAAGGACATTGCAAGGGGAAAAACTCGAGAAAAACAGATATACAATTTTCAGTAGTTGATTTTCTCATAAATTGAAACATATTTTGTCCCCCATCCCAGCCCCTCTCGATATTTTAAGTACCTGTGCACCCAGATGAAAACTCGGTGTTCAGATTTAAATTATTAAATGCCGGAATCTTGTCTCCTTTTCTTTTCCCAGTTCCAACAGAGTGTAATAATAACTCACAGAAAACGGAAATCCAAGTGAGCTAGCAAAGGGATCCCACCCAGCAAAAAAAGTCCAGCTTGAGAGAAAGCCCCTAACTCTTTCTTTTTGGCCTCCACCCCTCCCTAGATGTGTTTCCTTCCTTCTGTCTGGTCTTGAGGTCACTCTCCATTCCCTAGTTTCTTGACTCTGGCCACTGTTCTGGCACATTTCTTAAACACCGTCAGAGAAAGATGGCTCATGCACTTGACTGCAAAACTTCCCAAAACGGGCCCCTCAGCTCCCCCGGCCCCGCGCGACAACCCACACCCACCAGGGTAACTCCAGAACGAATAGGTCCGTGGGCCAGAGCTCCGGGTCCTTGGAATCACCCCACCACCGCCCCTCGGGCTTCAGCCAATAGGAAGCCGTCAAAGAATGTTATGCAAATAAACCTTCCCACTCCAGCCAGTCAGAACACACCGAGCCCTTCCCCCCGCGCTCCCCTTCAGCATCCTCTTTCACCCCAGCCCCGCAGAGCTGGCGGCCGCGTCCCTGGCAACCGGCAGGCAGCCAGTTTTCCCCTAAGCGCGGCTGTAAAAAAATAAAAACGGTTCCCTGAGGACACATGGGAGGGGAGCGGGCTGGCCACGGCCTAGCAGGAGGCGGACATCCTGTCTGGTTGCCCCAGGCACTTTCCCTGTCGCGATCTGGAACTGTATGGAAGCGCTGAGCCTCCTGCCTGGGACTCATTTTGCCTCCAGAAAACAAGGGAAGTCATGTGTTGAGCAAATAACTTTTGAGTCCTGTTAGTAGGCCAACAGGCTCAAGATGAGGGGCTTTTGATCTCTACTTTCTACCGAATATGCTAAATTCCCAGAAAAAACCTTGTCAGAGGTACTTCTTGGCCCACAGCTCCAACTCTGGAGCTCTTAAATTCTGGTTATTAATTCCCACTTTACCTTCCTGCTTTAGCAGCCACAAAATCATGCTTTGTGGGCTCATCTCCCAAAAACTGTCCAAAAACAACCCCTTCTACCCTTTACTTTGGATAGTTAGGGAAAAGATGACATTTTAAAGATGACCAGAAATTGCTAAACAAAGTAGTGAGCAAGAGTAGACTGGTGGGAGAAGGCAGATTGGAAGAAAGATTAAAAGAAGTTTGGCCCAAAGCTGGACATTAGGCGATATTTTAAGGCTAGAAACAGACCAACCCAAGATAACAGAGGTCCTGGATTATTTTGAGACAGAATTTAGAAGGAACCCCTTCATGAAAAGTGTCCTAGAAATATGACAGTCAGACTGTCCCATTAAAGACCATGTAGTCTAACCATCCACTTGTGCTAAAATTGCTCACAACATCCCCACCAAGTGGTCACCCTGGCCCAGGTTCTTATGTTTTCCATCCTCCAGTATTAGTTCTACTGCTTTGGAGCTCCCCAGAAGGCCATAAAGCTCACCATCAGATGTTTAAAGATAGACATGATCTCCTTGAGTTCACTATTCTTCAAGTCAGTTGTCCCCTGTTCCTATAGCAATCCTTCATGTTCTTTTGAGTTGCTCATCCAATCCTAGTCACTATCTTTGGAAGAAGCTCCAGTTTGCTTGCAAGTATGGCAAGCAAACGCATTCCAAGCAAACTCATTCCAAGTGCCATCTTTTCTAAGACAAAATGGAGTGGCACAGCCACCTATTTTCTTGTGAATGGCAACTTGTCTAAGTCACATTTATTGAGAACAAGTGCTTGGAACTTGGATATGTTAACTCATGTTAGCTTCACAAAAACCCTGAGAAGAAAGTAAGGATCAAAGACTTTAAGGGCCAAAGTAGAAGAATTGAGTTTGATCCAGTTTTCTGATGCCAGATCCAATGAATGTTCTTTCTACTACCCAACAAATACCTCAAATACCTCCTTCTTTCAATGCTGCCTAATAGTTAATTGACTTGTTTAACAGCTACATGCATATGCTGTTATCCATATAACAAAATTTTGTATATCCTATTCTTGAGCAGTGGGGATCTTTTTGGACAAAGTACAGACATTTCTATTATACTACTTACACTTTCTCTTATTGAATGTGTCCCATTATTCCAGCCTGTTTTCATATTTTGGGTCCTGATTCTGTGCTGTAATGCACTTGAATCTTACCCATACATTTGATAACTATTCTATATATTTATTCAAGTTATTGATAACCAGTACCAGACAGCACCGGGCAAAGGGCAAAGTGCTGTAGAACATCTGGAGAGCTCCTTCAGTTTGATATCAGTTTATTAATTAGCACCTTTTGGCATATGCTGTTTCAGCCATCTATGAATCATGTTAATTGTACAGTCATCTAGCCTATATTTTTCTTCTTGACCATAGGATATTATGAGACACCTTGCTAAATGCTTTGTTGAGGTCAAGTTAATGGCCGGTTTTCTTCCTATGGAGTTAAGAAGAAGGGAATTCTTGTCACATATTACAGATAAACCACTGTCACATGATACAAAATGCAGGAATAGCATCATAATATTCTGAGTTACCATTGGGCAGGGGGGTGTATCTTGTTGTGATTGTCCTTACCGGAAATACCATCATGAAGATTTAGGTGACAGAAGATAGACAAGAAGATGCTAAACCCTAGGAGCATGCAGTAGTGAATCTACTGCCCTCAAATCTTCTACGTTCAGGTTTTGGAATGACTGAATATGTTGGAGTTAGCATTTTGTCACAATCTTATTTTTTAAAGCCTCTTTAGCCTTGAATCTGGAAGTAAAGCATGGGGAAAATTGAGAATACTAGAAAATACTTTTTGTTGTGTTCTCAGTGTTTTCACATCTTTGAGAACTCTCTGTCGAGAATAATACATTCAATTTGAATATGGTAGATAAGAAAAAGGCAAGAATCATTATAGGTTTTCTTATTTTTTATTTTTTACTTTTAAATACTTAATTTTTTTCTTTTCTTTTTCTAAATACTTTAAATTTGAACTTCTCATTTGCTTTTATTTTTTCTTTTGTTTCAGCATATTATGGGGGTACAAATGTTTAGGTTACATATATTGCCCATGCTCCCCTCCCTCCCCAGTCAGAGCTTAAAGTGTGTCCATCCCCTAAACAGTGTGCATCACGCTCATTATGTATGTCTCAATTTGATTATTCTTGGATCCCTTGGAATTCCAGGACCTTTTGATACTATCAGCATAGAAGGAACAATAATGTTCTTCCTTCACTCTATTCCAAGTGTGTCAATTTGGTTAGCTTAAATTCTGAAATTAGATTCAACGTGTACAAATTATAACACCAAA